GGGGGGGTCAGATGAGTAGCGTTGACGATGGTCACTGAGGCCCAGTATTGTCAACAATACTGAGCCAAGGCCCAGTATTGTCAACAATACTGAGCCAAGGCCCAGTATTGTCAACAATACTGAGCCCTCACCCTAAAGGAATGCCTTTTTGTTCTAGCGGGGCCGGCCCCGGAAGGATTCTGCCGGCATTTGAGAAGTAATGTGGCTGTGGCAGTTTGAAGAGAAATAAGACAAAGTAAAGAAAGAATAATTAACAAGGAGAATAAGGATGATGTATACAAGTCACTAAACATGCATTGTAACTTTCATACCAACAGTTTACTCACCTGCGTGTGATTTCAAACAAGATTTCACAGTTCCATCAAGGATGGATCTAGACACCTTTTAGACACGATCCAAAGATCAAAGTACTTACCTGCAAGTGGCGTAAAGTTGTTGACACACCTATTCAACAAAATGCTTTCTTTCCATTAGCGGAGAATATTCTAATCAGCATGATGACAGACAACAGAGTAGAGATCCGAAAAGCAGCACTGGAGCGTCTTTTAGCATCAAAAGAGCTAGAATCTGAAACAAACAAAAGAACAGTGAGGTACAAAAGAGTTCCACAGATCAATTTTAATGCAAAAGAGTATTCGACGCATCCTAACAACAATGTTCTATCTGCAGAGTGCTGAATACCCAATTTTCTGTCTGCAAAACCTTTGTGTGGTTGGTTACCTGAGGGTAAAATTGTGTTCTGAATCCGAATCCGTCGAGAGATTTGACGGATTACATCGTCTTTACTGGCCTTGAAAACCTGATTTTATTAGGGGCATATGGAGGACTGTTTTTCCAGAATGGCAATGACCAAAACCTTTCAACGGCCATAACTCGGAAAGTGTTTGAGCTACAGCGGGGTGGCTTCAAACCCGGCCCCGCGGTCCTGCTGCCGTTGGCGGCGAGGGCGTGGGTTTCAGACGGTGGTGGCCGGCAGGTCGCCGTCCTCGGAGGCGACGACGGTGTCCTGGCGGGGGTGCGCCGACCGGAAGGGTGCCTGGACGCAGCTCCCTCCGAACCGAAGGTTGAAGAACCGTACCGGAGGCACCGGCAGGTGTCGGGGATCGCGGATGTTGAAGTCTGGGCCTTGCGGGTCGTACCCGGTGTGTACCCGGAGCCCGATGGCGAGAGTCCAGCTTGGGCGGCGGCCACGTCGGCCAGCGGGGCGGGGTGCGTCTCGGAGAGCAGAGCAACCAGTCGTCCTCGCTGAGCAGACTCTTGGGCCGACGTAGCTCACAAGCGCAACCGATCGCAACCGCAACGGGACGCAAGAGCAACGGCTCGCAAGCGCAACGGGGTCACAACCACAACGGCTCACAAGCGCAACCGCAGGGATCCGCCTGTTAGACGGCATCGACTGTTGTTATATCAAGTTAAGGCCAAGCCGAACGAGCAAGCCCAAGCCCAAGCCCAAGCCCAAGCCCGATGTTCGCCAAGCGATGGGAGTGGGGGGTGGAGGGGAGGTTCGCGGTGGCGCCATCTAGCGGACTATGCCTGCGATTGTCGTTGTTCGTTCCATCGTCTTCGCGCGCTTTAGGTTTGGAGACAACGTCGTCTTGGACGAAAGAGCCGCCCTCGCCCTGGTTGGTTCTGTCAGTTCTATGACGTGCACTTGTACTGGACGCTGTGTGTTTCGACGATATTAATATGGACATGCACAGCCCCAATAAGGTTCCGTACCATATTTACGATAATAACGGGAGGGTGTACACGGCGTATGTCTGTCCTGAAGAAGTTGCAAGCCTTGACATGGGTAAGTATATACACCTAACCCCTTTTTAAACGGACCCGTTTCTGCCAGACAGTTAGGGCGCGCGGGGGGGAGAGCGTCATGGTTCAACACCACCTGTTGAGCAGCTCCACACTCACGCCCGGGTACCAGAGCAACAATGGACACCTTGCTCTCTGAGTAGTCAGCCCCCCGCGCGCGCTGGCCAGCGCTCATGCCAAAAATTGTGCTCA